GATTTTTTACATCATCAACATACTCAAGAGCATCATCCTGACTACATACATTTATTAAACTCGTACTCACCTAATTGTGGTTGCAGGGGTCGAGACTCAGCTCCAGGCCCCGCCTCTTCACTGATCGCTACTAGGTCCTCTCTCTCTCTCTGCCTCCTGAGCTTTGTCATACCTCGTCTTAAAACTATGTATGGTTCCTGCCTCCACTACATCACTTGCTGGGCTATTCCACTTCCTGACGACTCTGTGACTGAAAAAGTACTTCCTAACATCCCTTCGACTCATCTGAGTCTTCAGCTTCCAATTGTTTTAGTTTAGTTAGTTTAATATGTTTATTATGCACCCCATACCCATCCTGTGGGCGGTAGTCAAAAGATAACAGAGGTACATAATTGGTCCAGGGACTGGACTCCAAAGTTTTGATAGCTGAGCAAGTTACAGAGGTAATGAATTCACAATTTACAAAGGTAATGAGCTCACAAATTACAAAGGTAATGAACTCCAGGTAGGTCTAGTCACAATCATGACAAGTTACAAAGGTATTTACAGATTACAGAGGTACGTAATGGGTCCAGGGACTGGGCCCCAAAGTTTTGATGGCTGAACTAGGTACAAGGTAATGAACTCACAAGTTACAAAGGTAATGAATACTGTAAGAATGGTTACTTACGTTTATACATGGCTACAATCATGAACAAATTATAGTGTGATGAGCAATTCACACTTCCACATTGTGACCTCTTGTTTCTGTGTTCCCTCTCTGGAACATCCTGTCTCTGTCCACCTTGTCTATTCCACGCATTATTTTATATGTTGTTATCATGTCTCCCCTGACCCTTCTGTCCTCCAGTGTCATCAGTCCGATTTCCCTCAACCTGTCTTCATAGGACATTCTCCTGAGCTCCGGAACTAGCCTTGTTGCAAACCTTTGTGCTTTCTCTAATTTCCTGACGTGCTTGACCAGGTGTGCGTTCCAAACTGGTGCTGCATATTCCAGTATGGGCCTGAAGTACACAGTGTACAGTGTCTTGAATGGTTACTTACTAAGGTATCGGAATGCTATTCTCAGGTTTGCCAGGCGCACGTATGCTGAAGAAGTTATCTGGTTGATATGTGCTTCCGGAGACGTGCTCGGTGTTATGGTCACCCCAAGATCTTTCTCCTTGAGTGAGGTTTGCGGTCTTTGTCCACCTAGCCTATACTCTGTCTGAGGTCTTCTTTTCCCTTCCCAAATCTTCATGACTTTGCATTTGGCAGGGTTGAAATCGAGAAGCCAGTTGCTGGACCACGTGTCCAGCCTATCCAGGTCACTTTGTAGTCCTGCCTGATCCTCATCTGATTTAATCCTTCTCATTAGCTTCACATCATCTGCGAACAGGGACACTTGAGAGTCTATCCCTTCCACCATGTCATTCACATACATCAAAAATAGCACTGGTCCTTGGACTGACCCCTGTGGTACCCCACTCGTCACAAGAGCCCACTGTGATACTTCATCACGTACCATGACTCGTTGTTGCCTCCCTGTCAGGTATTCTCTGATCCACTGCAGTGCCCTTCCTGTTATACGTGCCTGATCCTCCAGCTTCTGCACTAATCTCTTGTGAGGAACTGTGTCGAAGGCTTCCTGCAGTCCAGGAAAATGCAGTCAACCCACCCCTGTCTCACGGGTCTTACTTCTGTTACCTTGTCATAAAACTCCAGAAAGTTTGTGACACAGGATTTGCCTTCCATGAATCCATGCTGGTCGTTGTTTATAATCGTGTTTCGTTCCAGGTGCTCCACCACTCTCCTCCTGATAATCTTTTCCATGAATTTGCATACTATACACGTCAGAGACACTGGTCTGAAGTTTAGTGCCTCGTTTCTGCCTCCTTTCTTAAAAATGGGGACTACATTTGCCGTCTTCCATACCTCAGGTAGTTGCCCAGTTTCAAGGGATGTATTGAAGATTGTGTTTAGTGACACACACAGTGGCCCGGTGGCCTGGTGGCTAAAGCTCCCGCTTCACACACGGAGGGCCCGGGTTCGATTCCCGGCGGGTGGAAACATTTCGACACGTTTCCTTACACCTGTTGTCCTGTTCACCTAGCAGCAAATAGGTACCTGGGTGTTAGTCGACTGGTGTGGGTCGCATCCTGGGGGACAAGATTAAGGACCCCAATGGAAATAAGTTAGACAGTCCTCGATGACGCACTGACTTTCTTGGGTTATCCTGGGTGGCTAATCCTCCGGGGTTAAAAATCCGAACGAAATCTTATCTTATCTTATCTCACAGTGGCCCTGCTCCTTCTCTAAGGACCCACAGGGAGATGTTGTCCAGACCCCTTGCCTTTGAGGTATCGAGGTCACTTACCAGCTTCTGCACCTCCTCCTCCATTGTTTGTATATCATCCAGCACCTGTTGGTATGTTCCCTGTTGGTGTTACCCTCTGTGCTGTCTTCTCTCTTCATATTCCTCTCTTGGCCTCCTGCAGTTCTGTGGTGGATTGTACATCACTGCAATGACTACCTTGTGCTCCCCAGACTGAAGCATACTTACTATGTATTCTCTTCCTCCAATCTCGTCCATGCCTCTCATTTCCTCAATTTTCCATTGGTGTTTTACGAGCAGTGTAACCCCTCCCTCCTCTGCTCCTTCTGTCTTTCCTCAGGATCTGATATCCTGGTGTGAAAATTGCATTTGTTGTCTCAGTGAGTTTCATTTCTGTGACTGCTATGGTGTCAGGGGACTTCTCATTGATTCTTTCATGACACTCCCCATATTTGTTCATTATACCATCTGCATTCGTGTACCAAACCTTCAGCTTCTGTTTCAAAACTGTGGTCCTGGGAGGATATTGGGGTGGGGAGAGCAGGAGCACTGGCAGGGGCCTATGGGGGGTTGTGGTGGGGGTAGAGTTCCCATAGGGGGTTGCTGTAGGGTTGGGGTTTGTGGTGTGGAGGTGGGGACAGAGGGATTGGTGTGCGATTGTTGGCTTAGATTGGACAGTTGTCTTGGGGTTGCCGTGGTTGGGGTCCTTCTTCCGGTGTTTGTGGGGGGGGTGTGTTTGCCCTTCTACCTGTGGGTTATTCTGCCTCTCTTTTTCTCTTCATCCCAATCCTCCTTTCGTTTTTGCACTCTCTCTCAGTATCCTCCTTTCCTCTTGCGTTCTGTCTCGGTCGAGGTACACACTCTTGAATTCCGGTTTGTCTCTCAGCTGTGCTTTCTCCTGCAGGATCATGGTTCGAGTTGATTTTGCCTTGAAAATTACTTTGAGAGGACACTTCCTTCTCTCAGCATCTGTTCAAGTTGCTCAGTTTTTTCTGCAAGTTTGTTATAATCTGACGAAGCTCATACGAATCCAATGCCTCTCCAGAGGATGACACTTCTGAGGTAGTTCTTTCTTTAACACCTCCCCACAGCTGTTGGCATGGCCGACGCGGCAGGTTGTGTAGCGGGCTAGCTGCGGGATTTTCAAGGATAGCTCCTGGTCAAAGAGGCTGACCAGGTCCCTACTTAACAGAACTCAGTGTGAATGCTTTGAGAAGATACCAGAGCAGCGAAAGGACATCCCAGTGCATCGTTTCAGCGTAAATAGTTGAAGTGTTGTGCAGTTTTAGAGGGTTTGATGTCGTAGAGTCAGGACCAGTCAGCGCCTCCCCCCCTCTCCACTGGGGGAGAGGGGGAGGGCGTGTGTAGTAAACAGTGACCCTCTCATAACACCTCATCCCTGCGCGTCTCCTCCGCTCACCCACCCAACTCCCAGCCCCACCCCATCTGTAGAGGGTACTTCTCCCCTAACCCGCGATGACACTGCAGGGAGTGCCGGGCTCACAGGAACTTCCACTACAGGGACAGCATCGTGGATTTCCCGACCGCGAGGCAGCTGTCAGGTGTGCCACAGGCAGTGTGTACTCAGTTCCTCAAGCTTCAACATCCGTGCACACGAGGGCCTGGGATCTTCAATCAACTTGGCGTCCACCAGGACGCTGACATGTCCCTAGGACAGCTCTCCATCGGGCTGCTAACGGAGTCATGGCTTCATGGACTCTTGGGGAGGGTCGATGGTGCTCGTGCAAGCAGCAGATCCCTGGGCAACTTGCTGCTGTTTCCAATGGCTGTCTACCGAGGAGAGACAGGCACCTAGCAACATCTGTTGTTGGGGAAATGGATGAATTCCCTACTATGTTTGTTAACTGCTCATTACTCTGTAATTTGTCTATGATTGTAATCATGTCATAACGTGTTTATCATTCATTACCTTTGAAACTTGTCATGATTGTGACCAGCTCTACCTGAAGCTCATTACCTTTGCAAATTCTCATGATTAATGTGTTTATGATTCATTACCTTTGCAATTATTCATGAGTGTGACCAGCTCAACCTGGAGCTCATTACCTTTGTAACTTGGTCATGATTATGACCAGATCTAGTTCATTACCTTTGTAACTTGCTCAGCTATCAAAACTTATGGTGTCCAGTCCCTGGACCAATTATGTACCTCTGTAATCTTTTGACTACCGCCCACAGGATGGGTATGGGGTGCATAATAAACATATTAAACTAACTAACTTTAACACCTATCACCTTAACAGGTACCACCGTTACATTAGTGTTCTCTGATCGTGCCTGTGACAAGACTGCCTCATCATTCATTGTAGGTAGGTCCTGTACATCTGACTCATCTCCAGCTTCCAGGGGGGGTTACAAGTGTGGTGTCCGTCTGAATGTTGTAAATGTGTGTATTGGAAAAAATTACTACATTCCTCAGATCTTCAACTAGTGCGCAACACGAGCTTCTTAACTTTCTTGTTTTGTTGTCATCAGTTTGGAACTTGTCAATATTTCCAACTTACGTTATGTAGCTTTAAATGTCTCATCTAATGCAAGGCAAACTTTACGCACAAACCCATTAAGAAAATAAGAGCGCCTTCCATTATAAATATTTATAAGGGTAAATATGTTTTTATTAATGCGAGTATTTTAGTATTTTAAGTAATTGTTATCCATTCAACCTGGCGTACTTAATTACCTGGTGAGGGCAGTACCTTCACTGGTCTCAGTAAAAATAAAGATATATTGAGAGTGGCGAGTTGAGAATCATCATGGCCCAGGAGATGAAGCTCAAGAGGAGGATATCTCTTAAGGAAACTTTCAACACGTACATGCCTGAATTTAATGAGGAAAATATATTTCTGGTTCAGGTTGTTGTGGCTGTTATTATTGGCGTTGTAACACTCGGTAGGTACTGTGTTAATTTTGTGGGTAATAGACAGTTATTATTTTAAATTTTTAAGATCTTTCAAAGCGATGTTGTCTACGTAATTCATGTTATAGGATTAGAAATTTGGTCTGTTTAATAAATAGTACCATGGTTGTAGTGCCACAGCTGTGGATGCTGGTGCAGGGTTCTGATCCAAGGAAGTAGAGCTTATCTCTATTTCCTTGGACCAAATCTGATTACCTTATTCTCTAAGCGTTGTATGGGTTTAGTGCTTCATGCAAAATAATAGGTTGATAGAGAACAGCCAACCTGGGAGGTGGAATAAGGAAGTCAGTTTATTCAGGTATACACAAATACAGTTACATAGATTATCATATATAGCAGCATATGTGTAGAGAACCTAGGATAACCCAAAAATGTCAGACAGAGTGACTAATTTCCATTGGAGACTGGGTGCCCCAGTGGCCTGGTGGCTAAAGCTCTCGCTTTACACACGGAGGGCCCAGGTTTGATTCCTGACAGGGTGGAAACATTTCGACATTTTTTTTAACACCTGTTGTCATGTTCACATAGCAGCAAATAGGTACCTGGGTGTTACTCGACTGGTGTGGGTAGCATCCTTGGGGATAAGATTGAGGACCTCAATGGAAATAAGACAGACAGTCCTCAATGACGCACTGACTTTCTTGGGTTATCCTGGGTGGCTAACCCTCCAGGGTTAAAAATCCGAAGAAAATCTTATCTTAAGAGGTGCATTCTTGATGAAACAGACAATTACAGTAAAGTCCTTTATCTGTACAATGCTTGACCCAACACTGGGTTTTATAAAGTATATCAAAGTGTTGGTTAAAATTTTGTAAGATGTGTTTTTTTCGGATTTTTAACCCATAGGTTAGCCACCCAGGATAATCCAGTCAAGTCAGTGTGTCATCAAGGACTGTCTGTCTTATTTCCATTGTGGTCCTTTGATCATCCTCACCAGACTGCAACCTACACCAGCTGACTAACACCCAGGTGAAAAGGGACAGCAGTTATAAGGAAACACACCCATCGTTTCCACCCAGCCAGGAATTAAACCATGGACACTCAGTATGTGAGGTGAGAGCATTGGCTACCAAGCCACAGGATCTACAAATTAAAGACCCACTACATTCATCTTTCACCCTCAGGACTGGGACTACCATAATGTTCAATAAGTAAGAAATGGAAAACTGTTATTTTTTTGTGCTTTGGTAGGAATGCTGATCTTTTCTTTCTTAATTTTCATGAACACCTAAGATAACAGATAAATCTTACAAACTGCTACTTACATTCAATATAGTACACATACCTCTATTTCCATATGTTCTTCTTAATTAGTCTTAATCGTGTAATATTTCCTTTTAAATCTAGGAGACCTGGTTTGAGACTGAACATAATGATACATTACTGTTTGACCTGACAATAATGATATAACACAACAGTGGCTGCTGATGTATGAACAGGTTGCTAAAATGTTTTATTAGCCAACTTACTTAAGTATATGCTATATTATACAAAAATAATAAATGGTGTTTAAATGATTTGAATAGTATAGGTACTTTTCCTTCAAAAAAGGTGTCCTGATACTGATGAAGGGCTCTTGATGCAGGAAATTGGAGCTTCCTTCTATTTACTCAGATCAAACCTGATTGCCTCCAATTTTCTAGGTGCTGCATGACCTCCACAGGTTTATACTTCTTCATCATAATTATTATTTATTATTATTATTAACCCTTTGAGGGTCGACAGGCCCTCTCCGAAACTCATTCTCAGGGTCGGCCAAATTTAAAAAAAAAAAAAATTATTATTTTTTTCTTATGAAAAAATAGAGTTGTTTTTTTCTAAACATTATAGGCTAAACAAAAAAATTTTAACGTCAATACTTACCGAGATATGGAGGCGTGAAATTTGCCAAAATTGAACAACATCTGGTAACATCGCCGACTGCCGTCACCCGGTATTTTTCTATTTACTTTTTTATGTACTATTTTCAATTATTTTTCAATTTTTCTTTTTTCTGAGTAACTTCTATGGCCTCTGAGGCCAACATGATCAGTATTTTGTAAGTTTTTCTTTTCAATACTACACAATAAGGGCGTAAACACTGTTGTCATTATTTTGTTTATAGAAAATATTTACACAAACAAACGATATGAAATGTTGTTTATTACTATTTTTCTATATTTTCTATACACATATACAGTCACAGGGAATGTTTCTAGAAGTTCTGAAGCCTGTGGAAGTCTTTGAAACATGGTGTCATGCACAGTGGTGTTTTACACTCCTCACACATAAAACGAGTGTCTCTGCGTTGTTGTGGGCGTTTTTTTGTATGTGCACAGATGTAACACCTCTTCTGAGCCTTTTTCTTGAAAGCAGTAGCAGGCAGTTTTACCAGGAAGTGATCACCATGCTTCAGACGAGCAGGTAGTTGTTGATAATTTGGTGGGCGGTCAATTGCAGGTGCTGTTCCTTGGTACTTGAATACTATTTGTCTGATGACAGACAAACAGAATTCGCCGTACTGTGGTTTGTTTCTGGTCCTCATCTTATACATATTATAAGCATTGAGCATGGAAATGTCCAGAAGATGGAAAAACAGTTTGATGTACCACTTATAACTCTTGCGAACACAATCAGCAAACCCAATCTGCATGTCACATTTGTCCACTGAACGCATGTTGAAGGTGTAATCAATCACAGCTGCAGGTTTTAGAATGGGTTCATTGCTCTCTCTATGCTGCCTGCCACTGTCTGCCATTTCATTAGGGTGAACTGATGACAACAGTGTGACATCTTGTTTGTCATGCCACCGAAATGCCATGATGTCATTGGCAGCAAACGCCTGCACCTCACCTCTACGAGTGCCAGCGTCAAACCTGGGCATATGTTTCCGATTTGCACGCACTGTGCCACACACATCTGTCATGTTCACTCGCAAAAAATCACTGAGTGAGGGGCTTGTGTACCAGTTATCTGTATATAATATATGCCCCTTATCAAGGTATGGTTCTATCATTGTTCGAAACCACATCACCTGAGATGCCCAATAACTTCTGGTATTTTGCAATGTATAACTTCCAGTGTACACAAATAATATCCAATACCAGACCACTGTAACAATCACAAAGCACAAACAACTTTATACCAAAGCGTTTCCTCTTGCTTGGTATGTACTGCTTGAAAGAGAGTCTTCCTTTGAACAGAATCAAAGACTCGTCAATTACAAGCTTCCTGAAGGGATAAAAATGCGTACTGAATTTCTCTTTCAGATACACAAACACATTCCTAATCTTATATAACATGTCAGTTCTCTCAGGCCTGGTTTTATCTGAGAAGTGAAGCATACATAACATTAGCACAAATCGATTCACTGGCATTATATCACTGAAACCTGGGGTTGCAATTAGGCGGTCTGTTGACCAGTATGATTTCACTTTGTGCTTATACACATGTGGCATAAGCATTATTGTGGCAAAGAAAAGATACATCTCAGCCACAGTTGCCTCCTTCCACTGGTGTAGACGTGATTTTGGTGAAGTAATGTGTTTGCCATGGTGTACTCGTAGTGTGTGTTGCTTTCCATGACAATACTTTCCATCAGTGGTTCGTCAAAGAATAACTCGAAACATTCCAGTTCAGTGGCATTGTTCCCAAGTGTACAAGATGGCCATATTCCACTTTGGCTGTCATCAAACTGGTGGGCATTTGGAACAAAATTGACAGCTTCCTGCCAATCCCAGGTGCGGTCTGCTGGTGGGTACTGGACAATGACAGGTGGTTGTGGTTGTGGAGGCTGGTGTGGTGGGTGAGTGGGGGATGGTGGCCTTTGTTGTAGATCAGCTGACGCAGCGGCGTGGGTGGCAGCATGGCCCACTGCTGGTGCCTCACCGCCGGCACCACTACCGCCACGGACATTTTCCATCCCAATTGCAACAGTATCATCGTCATTTTCACTGTCTGTTCCTGTTGTACAGCCACGGGATGTACTCCGAGATACACTCCTTCCCCTTGGCATAACATATGGCACACTACCAGAGCGCATATATCGTCGTATATACTGACGCTTCACTGGGGAATATTGCACTTCACTATCACTACTGGAACTAGTTTGAAGAGCTTGTAGTTCATATTCACTATCACTTTCATCACCCATGCTCTCATCTGAGTCTGGGATTTGGGAAAATAGAAGTTTCCTCTTGGGTTCTGGTACAACTGAACGTGAACAAGACGGCCCAGCACCAGAGGTGGAAGGCTGAGGGTCATCTGGGTTTTCCTCACTAATACCGATATTATGGTCATTAGTTTCAGTCAAAACCTCACCAAAACCATGAAACTCATCTTCACTGGCACTTCCATCTGTATTAGAACTGTCACTGGGGAACAAAAGTGTCCCAATTCGCCGAGGAGTGAGGAGCTTCTTACCGCGAGGCATGGTGGACATTGTTTACTAAGAGGGTGTTCCCACAATGCACCACTGGGTCCCAGATTTTTTTTCTACCGCACACACCGACCACTTAGACCCATTCTCTCACATGTAGGCCTACCAGCCTTTTCCCACGAGATTTGACGGCGCTAGAATTTGTGCGTACTAGTACGTCAAAAAACCCCTACGCGTAAGATGTACTAGTACAGCCGAAACCCTCAAAGGGTTAATAATGATCCACACATGCTTTGCATTGTGCAGATATATACAATAATTATTGCACAGTACTTTACAGTAGTTAAATTTGATAGTCCCCTTGAATGCTTAGTATTTTAAGCAAACCTAGAGCTGAATGTCAGTAGTACTGTACATGAATGAGATACAATAATAATAATTTTAATTCAAATATAAATAATAATATAATTTTTTGTATGATCCTACATTGTTGTGAGCTGGTTTATTAATAATGGTAATAATATAATATTTAATTCATGTTATTATTCCCTTAAGTGCTAAATTCCTATGAGTCATTTAGCATTTCTTGGTAATTCATAATTTTTGTTTTAACAGAATTAAGATAAACAGGTACATAAATTATTTTTAGTTGGGAATATGCTATGAGGATATAATGATGCTGAGTTGCAAGTTAATCAGTGTAATTCTTTAAGTATTGTGAGATATCACAGCACTGATGCAGCCTTCAATCTTCCCCTGACCTTAACCCCCCCACACACACAAAAAAAAAAGTTTAGAATGGTCCAGTCAGTTGGTATCAAATGACCTCTTGGCACACCTACCTGTATCAATTGTCTGGTCAACCTGTAACAGTGGTAGCAAGTCACCTTGTAGCACACATACCCATAGTAGTTCGTTGGTAAGCCTGTAGGACTTTTATCAAATTACCTCACAGTAATCCTTCCCTTAGCAATTTTCTGGTCTCTTTGTAGAACACAATATTTTATAATAATTAGGAAGTATTATAGTAATGCTAATATACAACAGGATATATCTTATTGACTGAAAACATCTGGTCACAACACAATACAATATTGTAATGTTAAACCATTAAATATTTGTATTTTATAAGCAGTAAGGATGCTTATTTCTAGTTGGTGTATACAAAACAGTATAAAAGCCCCATTTGATCATTTATTATTTTTCTCATTTCAGTAATTTTATGGCGTCTGTTTCGTGCAACTAGCAAACGACGTGCAGTATTACTAATGGGATTGTGTGAATCTGGAAAGACGCAGCTATTTTCACAGTTGTGTTATGGAACAGATGTCATCTCTGTTACCTCCATTAAAGAGTCTGTTGGAGAATATGTGACTGGAAAGGTGTGCCTTTTGTTAAATTTTGCTTGATATTTTATAGTATGTAGCTGAAAGCAATCTTTATTATATTATAAATCTTTACAGTTCTTCTTTTTCTAAGCTTTGGCTAGTTTATCAGTCCTGTGTGAATATTCTTTATTAAAAACCTATAATTAGAAGAAAATATATGTAGTCTTTTTACATTTTTGTCCAAATACTGTTTCCCACATTGCTGAAATGTAATACAGGTCAGCCATCACTAATTCGGCAATCAGTTATCCGGTTCCATCAGTAATCCAGCGCTAATTTCGGCTAGCATAATTTCAAATTTCATCATTATACTGACTCAAATTTCATCATTGTACTGACTCCGAAATTGTACAAATGGTTGTAAATCCATAGCAGCAAGCCAGTGGAGGAGAAAGCAGTGATGAAAATGAGGAAGATGTAGCCGAGTCTTTATTGATATACTTTAAGTGTATTCTAATCTAACCACTCTGTAATCCAGCAAACTCAATAATCTGGCACACTACAGGTCCGAATGATGCCAGATTAGTGATGGCCTACCTGTACTATATTGCGAGTGCATCCACATGCGAGTTTTTTCAAATATGAGCAGTCGCTCAGTCGATTTTTTGCTTCCATACACGAGTAAAATTTCCATAAGCAAGTGGGCCTCAAGGGATGTTCCTTGATGCAGGTGAGGGACTCTTGCTCTTGATCCAGGGAACTGGATCTCATTTGTTCGTTGGACTATCTTATTGAAACTTGGGCAATGTATGATGGAAAGATGCTTCTTAACGTACACCAAAAATGAAAGAAATCGGACCATAATTAACGGAGTTCACTTCCCAGCCATTAGCTGCCCCTTAGCAGTATATTTTCATATGGTTTTTATAGTTGTATTCTCGTTTTTTTTGGTCTCATTTGATAGAATGGAAGATATACTACAGAAATGGATATGATTTTAATTGGGTTCACGATGAAGAGTACCTTGAAATTGAGCTCAAAGTAGCGGAAATGTTTGATTTTGCCGATGTTCAGGAGTAAACAAATGATGTTATTGTCCAATGTGTGTCCAACTGGCTAGTCTGATAATGGGGTGACATTATTTATGCAGTTATTACAATAATGGAGTAGTCTGCATAACATTAAATCTTCGAGTGTATATATCATGTTTCTGTGTTATTAATATTGTTTATTATGTCATATTAGATGAATTGTGATAGATAAATAAGCTGTATAGACGATGACAGCGAAATATTGAAGTATCTTGTCGTGCGTCCTGAGAGCCGGGAATGGATTAATTGCATTTCAGTTAATTTAAATGAGGAAAATTGAGTCTGCAAACGAGCAAATTCAGATGCGAGCAAGGTCACGGAACGAATTAAACTCGTTAGTGGAGGTTCCACTGTACTTTGTGTTTTCTGATTATTAATTTTTCTTTAATATTTCTTACATATTTGCATAATAATTCTAATATATTTGTTCCCCTTTCTTCATAATTTTTTTATTTATCCCCCTTTATGTTTTTTACTAAGATGATACAGTTTTCTTTTTACCTTGGATATTAAGAGTTGCATAAAGTTATCTGCTTGTGGCTTAGCCTAATGAGTATTACCAATTTCACCTTAGCCTAATGAGTTGTGGCTTAGCCTAATGAGGCATAAAATTGTTTTTATAGAACTGTTATTATATAATTTTGTTGCCAATTCCAAATGTGAAAGGCTTCAGTCTTGCATGAAATTATTAGATTCTTTTTTGAGGATATTAGATTGCAAGATGTTAAAGACAGGAAAAATATAACTAAATCACATACCTTGTATGATGATTCTCAAAAACTGTGCTAACCTGACTTGTAAGAAAAATATGGTCTGTAGTAGCACAGTGTTTATATCTAACAAGTTTAAAATTTGAGTGAATGAACTGGAAGAAGCCTTCCCTTCCTTAGATATAAACTGATTACCCATAAGTTTCAACTAACTTAAGACGTTGCAGTACTTTAGTTATCTTAGGATGTTGCAGTGTCTTAGTGATGCTCTTTATTCCGATATGATTACGCATTAATATGTTCTACATTTTTTGTTTTTACAGAAATCTTTGCCTGTATATGATCTTCCTGGCCATGAGCGAATTCGCTTTGCAGCATTTGAGAAAGTGAAGAAGTTAGCTCGTGGAATTATTTTTGTCCTGGATTCTGCCACTGCTCAGAAGGATGTTAGAGATGTTGCAGAGTAAGAAAAAATCACATCCTGCACTTGTTTAAATAAATAAATTATGTATATACAGAAGGACCCCAATTATATGGCGGTGAGGTTCCAGGCTACTGCCATAAAATGAAAATCACCGTAAAGTGAATCACCCTTGTTTTCAATTTTAAATGCATATAAATGCCTGATAATATGTTTATACTATCATATATTATTACATAAATAATAAAATTAGACCTAAAAAACAATAAAGTAAAATGCATATCCAGTACACTATTTCTTACTTTAAAATACTTTCGTCTTTAGCTTATAGTGAGTGGTGAGTAGTATTAGCCTCTAGCATTAGTTCCTAGGAAGAGTGTTAGCCTGTCTTAATTATTTGTTCTTAATAATATTTTATTACATGTAAAACTACATTTTTTATACCACAGAAAGAAATAAAGATTGTTTGCAGCTTTAAAGCCAGGCATTCACTTCTCTTCTTTAGTAATAAATGCCCTTAAAGAGTATCTTCCAAATAAATTAGGTTTCTTCCATATTAAAATCTGCTGCTTGGTATATCCACTACATTGGATTATCCCAGCTAACTCATGTGGATGCTTACCCTGCACTTTGACGTTGTGCAGTTGGTTTCTTTCCCTAAGCCTTTGAAACCAGCCTCTTCTAGCTTTGAATTTATGCTCAACATATATTAAGTGTGCAGTAGAGCTAGGCCTAAAAAATAATATGAAAGTAAAATGAATGTAAAAATTGCTAGAATACAAAGACGCAGAGTACACAAATTCTGAAAACAGTGTTTTGGGTGGACACGTAACAGGCGCTGTCAGATGGACTTGGATGGACATGCATTAATTTGGCAATTGACCAGGTATTGGGCATCCAATTGGGAGTGACTAGTGACGCTAAACAAATTATTTATACATTAATGTAGTACAGAAACGGACCCTGGCTCACAGCAACAGACCCTGGCTCACAGCAACAGACCCTGGGTCACAGCAACAAACCCTGGCTCATGTCATAATGAAAATGTCTATAATAACTTAATACAGTATACAACATAAAAAGTGCCCCAGAGTGATTATTCTTATTCTTTATTTAGGTACATGTACACATAAGTACAATTATCAGTACAGCCTGTCTTCACTTAACGACGGAGTTCCGTTCCTAAGACCACATCATTAAACAAGTTTGTTGCTAAGTGAGGAGTATACTATAATGGTAGTGAGTTTGTGTCAACCATCTTTGATATTGTTTTAATGTCACCTTTGCACCATTTATAACATTTCTGGTATATTTTTAAATGTTTATCAAGTAGTGTACTGTATATTGAAATAAACAGAATAGAGGAAATCACCTCTGATATACATTATTTTGGTATGAATACTGGTCAGAGAGCCCATCGTAGGTCCGAGACATTGGTAAACAAGTACATCACTAAGTGAAGAGAAGCTGTACTATCTCAGTCCGATATCAGACATAGACATACCTTGCTCACTGAGTTTGATCATTTCTAAATTTGCAATTAAAGTAAGAGCCTTAAAACTCTCTCTTTTATCGCAACTACCCTTAGATGTCATTGTAACACAAAAAGAGTATACAGTGGACCCTCAATCAATGATATTAATCCGTTCCAGGGAGCTCATCGTTAGATGAAATTATCGTTAGTTGAATTAATTTTCCCCATTAGAAATAATGGAAATCAAATTAATCCGTTCAAGACACCCAAAGAAATGAAAAAAAAATATTTTTACCATATGAAATATACATTTTCCTACACACACAAACAGAAGGATAGATGCACAATACATGTATACATATGTATATTGTGTAATGAAGAATAAATGACACTTACCTTTATTGAGGATGAGTGATGGGATGGGAGGAGGGGAGATGATGGATGTTATTATTTTTTGGAAGGGGAATCCCCTTCCATGAGGACTTGAGGTAGCAAGTCCTTTTCCTTGAATTCCTGCACATATTTTTCAGCCACTTTTTGGTCCAAACTGGCAGCCTCACCATGCCTTATCACACTATGTATGCCACTACGATTCTTAAATCTCTCAAACCAATCTTTGCTGGCCTTAAATTCACTCACAACACCACTAGTTGCAGGCATTTTTTTAATTAAATCATCATGCACCTGCCTTGCCTTTTCACATATGATAGCTTGGGAGATGCTATCTCCTGATATCTGTTTTTCATTTATCCACACCAATAACAGTCTCTCAACATCTTCGAGTACTTGCGATCTGTGTTTCGAAAACATACTTGCACCTTTTGCAACAATAGCTTCCTTCATTGCCTTTCTGTTGGCTAAGATAGTAGCAATGGTTGATTGGGGTTTGTTATACAACCTGGCCAGCTTGGAGACACGCACTCCAGTTTCATACTTTGTGATGCTCTCCTCCTTCATTTCAATTGTAATTCTCACCCTTTTTACCACAGGGTTGGCACTAGAAGCTTTCTTGGGGCCCATGGTGGCTTATTTTGCAGTTACAAGCACTAAAAACACTGGAATAAAACAAAATGTACCAAATGTATGCGTGGATGCGACCACACTGGCTGGCTTGTAAACACTGGCACACTAACTGAAGGCAGGGCAGCTAAGGCACGCTCAGGCCAGATGGGACACATGGACGCGTTCGGGACGAATCATGTTGGTCGAGTTTTTCATCATTGGTCGGGCCAAAATTTTTATGCTCAAACGCTTCGTTGGTTAAATTTATCGTTGGACAATGCCTTCATTGGTTGGGGTCCACTGTATATGTATATAAAATACACAATAACTTTAAAACACTTGAAACTTGAGAAAGTTTCCAGACATAACTGAGATATGTGTTTGCAGAGGATGTAAACAAACTGAGAGTGGACGAGTGGCACACAGACACGATAATAGTGAATCAGGAGCCATGTAAATGAATTTTTGGGTATAATTTCAAATATCCGTATTAGCAAATTGCCGTAAAGCGAAGCGCCACAGAGTGAGGCACTATTGTGTAAAGGAAGAAAGTTGAAAGTGAACATAGATAAGAATAAGGTGATAAGGGTATCAAACGAGTTAAGTAAAAAAAAATTGGATAGCACATTGGAGGGAAGGAGTATGGAAGAAGTGAATGCATTCATATATTCGGAAGTAGACTTGTCAGCAGATGGGTTGATGAAGGACAAGATAATCCATAGAATTGATGAAGGAAAAAGGGTGGGAGGTGCATTAAGTTATCTGTGGAGACAAAGAATGTTATCCATGGAGGCAAAGAAGGGAACGTATGAGAGTATACTGGTATCAACACTCTTATATGGATGTGAAGCATGGGTTGTAAATGCTGCAGCAAGAAGGAGGCTTGAGGCAGTGATGTCATGTCTAAGGACAATGTGTGGTGTAATTATTATGCAGAGAATTCATAGTGTGGAAATAGTTAGAGGTGTGGAGTTACTAAAGGTATTTTTCAGAGGCTCAGGAGATGTTGTTGAAGTGTTTGGTCATTTAGAGAGGATGGAGCAAAATAGGAAGACTTGGAGGTGTAAAATCTGAAGTGGAGGAGGGGCAGGGGTCATCCTAGGTACGGATAGAGGGACGGGGTAAGGGGGTTTTTTGTTTTCAAGGGGCTTGGACATACAGTAGGCACGTGTGAGTATGTTAGATAGGAGTGAGTGGAGACTAATGATTTTTGGGACTTGGTGAGTTGTTGGAGTATGAGCAGGGTAATATATGTGAAGGGATTTAGGGCAAATCAGTTAGCCAGACATGAGTCCTGGAGGTGGGAAGTACAGTAGAGTGCAGTACAGGAAATATTGTATTTTAAAGGAGGGGTTTAAGATATTTGCTGTTTAGAGGGACATCTGAGCTGTCATATCTGCATGCTTCTGGCAAGACAGTGATAGTGTGAATGATGGTGAAAGTGTTTGTTTTTTGAGTCACCCGTCTTGGTGGGAGATGGCCATTGTGTTTAAAAAAAAAAAACCATGCATGCGCACTCACACTCCTACCCCCACCCCTAAAGCCTTGATTAAGATATCTTATTCAAACTAATTATAAAAGATACCAGACTTTATTTAATAAAGACCTGGACTCTACAAATATCTATGACTTGCTAAACCCTACTCACCCAATCCTGAAGTGTGCCCGGTTCAATATTTAAAAAAAAATAATTACGTTTTGTTGTTTACTTTATATAAACTTTTCTTTTAAAAACCAAATAAATTCGAAATGTAAAACTAAGAATTCGCTCATTTTTGTTGATCAAATTAAGAAGGTCCATATTTTCGTAGATGGATTTCCACTAGCCTATTTTGTAGAGTCCGTTTATTATCAACCAAAGTCTGGTATCTTTTCAATTATTTTTTCATATTTGGGACTATTGAGTATCCTTTTCATTTCTCTTGTATTAACCCAATAACTGTCGCAACCTTTTGCAATTTGTCCAATGTCTCAAAATTTTAAAAAAAAAAAATAAAAATAATCCAGAATGAAATCAGACTTGGCTTAAAATAAGATTTTCTTTGTCGTCACACTCAGTTCATCCTATGATATTTCGTCTTTTATTTTGAAATTTTTCAACAAAAATAAAGTTTTTTGAAACCGTACTGCAATACTGTAAATATTGTAAAAATTACATTCAACCCATTCATGACTGCGTATTAGAATGGCTATTTGACATTTTGGAATGACATCATTTGTTTACTTTGAAATCGGCAAAATCAAACATTTCCTGTAATTACTCCATTTCCAGTTCTTTTTATAGTAAAATTAATCAAAACACCTCCTTTTTTCCTAAAAAATTTTTTTCCTTCTATCAAATGAGACAAAAACGAAAAACAACACAAATACTATACAAAAATAGCCCACAAAGCGCATTTTTTTTTTCGGTCGAGTTTTTTTTTCTCTTTATGCCTCGTGCCCCAGGATTTTTTTTTTTGGGTGCACATGCCACACAGACCCATTCTCTCACATGTGGGCCTACAGTTTCCCCGCCTGATTTGAAGCCGCTAAATTTAGAGTTATATACGTCAACACGGTACCTCAA